ATAAACATCAAATTTTCATTTTTGGGTGAACTATCCCTTTAAGGAAATATCCTAGCATTAATTACCCTTATTCAGCTAAATTCAAACTAGATGTTTTTTTGGAAGTTAACCATTATTAAGAAAAGCCGACAGCAGGTGTTTGATCAGTGTTTGAACACACACATCGCCTGAGGACATAAACGTAAAACACACACAGCTGAGGAGTCTCCTTATTCCTCCTCTCCATTGGACTTTGATCTAATGAAATCGAGAACAACCTCAGCCGTATGTAGTACGAGTCCCAGAGGGAACACGAGTCTAAATCATTACCTTGCAAAGCAAAGGATGTTTCCATCCAATCGATATCACAGCCCAGAAAATGTATCAATGCTGTCATCTAATTAGAATGTATACATTTAGTGTACAGAACAAGGATGACTGAATTCCCCAGTGTAGAATGAGCCCTTGCTAGTGTACTTTGGATCAGTGCTACCTTGCATTATCAAACAACTCTTCAAAAGTCAAGCACAGGTGACTTAAGATATTGATCCAGGCGATGCTGAACACATCAAGGGTGGTGCTTTCAAAAACACATGCGGTACCCTCCTGACTGTGAAACACCCCCAGAATGAGAGGACAGGCCTCTGGGATCGAAAGCAACCTTTCAATTAAGCCATGAACTTTTCTGGGCATGTTTTGGAGAATTGCATGCTCAAGGTAATCTTCACATTTTGTGTTAAAATGTGACATGTTGGAACAGTCTTTCTGTATTAGCTATGATTTTGTATTTTTCCACAAAACTAAACAAAGTTACAAAGAAGTTACTATGAATTCTGTGGTAATTTACTAATATGAATGACTATTTTCACCAAAACTGACACGTTTTTTTTTTTTTTCCTCATGAAAATTTCATGAAAATAGCAAACGACACATGCCAATAAACATAAATAAACCATTGTGGTGACTTTCTGTTTGGAGAGAACATATTTCTGTGACAGACAGCAGATGAAACTCACATTGCTACTCCGAAAAACTCGTGCTTGGCCGTGGAAACGACGACATCTGCTTGGCACAGCGCTTTGAGGTAATCTTCCTTACTGGGCATGAAACCCCAGTGCTGGATGTGGTCAACCAACTGTTTTTTGGCTTCTAAAAAGATGTCTATAGTGGGAAGGAACAGAGAAAGGGACAGAAGCCTCAATATCGATGTGTAGTAATTAGCGGAGAGAGGGATGTTTAAACTTTTGGTCATATTTTGCGAGGAGATAAAATAAGCAAGGTCATCATAAATTTGGACATAAAACAGAGAAGGGCACAAATAATCAATAATGTGATTCTATTAGCAAAATCAGAATAGATTAAAACCGTTTCAGTGTGATTGCCTTCCGAGCAATCGTAAACATAATTTCATAAAATGAGCAAACTTTACGATCTGTTTATTTATTTTGGTCATGCAGCTGTTTATGCCGTGATAAAAGTTTGCATCTCAATATAAGAGATTGTGTTTCCTGTAAGTCTCGCTTTGGCAGCGCTAGAGTGTGTGGGTACATAAATTAAATGAACACAACGCCATAAATACTCAAGACTGTCCGAAAGATATTAAAACATAATTGTCCACTAATGGGGAGTGTATTTTGCCAATGAAAATGTTGCCTGTGTGCAATAAACAGACGATCTTTGAACCTAAAGCAATGTACTTAACAAATGTGTTTCAAAGTTAAACGTAATTACATTTGTGCATGACATCAGAGGTGTCAAAAACTAAATCATTATGTGAAAATAACAGAAAGGCAAGTAAATAATAAAAAAATAAGCAAGCAGAAAAAAGAAGAAAAAAATATATAGCTAACTAACCGGAACATTTTGTCTGAAACAAACTGTTGTATAACAGTAATATCACATTATAATTGTTTAATTATGTCCCCAGTCCCTAATCCGTACAGCACATGATGTACCTGGAACATCAGTGAAGGTCTCTCCCAGGACAGAAACTTCAAAGCTCAGCTGTTGTTCTTTGAGTTTCAGTAAGGTCTGGAAGAACAGCTGTGGGTCTTTGTCATGTTCCCTTTAGCCAGAAAGAGACACAGCAGAAACAAAACACTGACTATTTCACATTTGGAAGCAGTAACGGTTACACATTAATTAATAACAGGAAAAATATTACCAAAAGAGAGTTCAAAAATAAAGTGTAGAAAATAAAAAATCACTACCCGTCATATTAGCATTAACATTTAATCATATAGTTTTATCCAAAGTGCTTTACAAATGATGAACTTCACAAGCCATTTCATACACGAGTCAACAATATGCACAGTATGTCAATACCAAGTAAGCACAAGTTAAAATGCAATTTAAGAAAAAAATTATAATAATATCATAAAACCACAGGGCTTTTATGAACATAATACACAATTTTAAAGTGAGGTTGAATGTATAGAGAGTTTTGTTTAATAAGTGAATTTTAACTGTGACAAAAGTGGAACAAGTATCTTTACTTATTTATCCATTTTTTCTTTTGCAACCAAATATATGCACACAGATTTTGTAGACAGGAGCCCATTTCAGTTTTTCTTCTTCAATTTTTTTTAATGACCTTCAACTCTTGTTTACCCATATGTTTGGATGTTATTGTGGAAATAATATAAAACATACTGAGAAAAGGTAAAAATCTGTGATGTGATAAAGCAATCTCTGATGAAATTTCAGTGTTTGACATTCAATTCTGACTTCTCAGAAACATGTATACAACTGGAAACGCTAATACAATTATTTATATTTGAGGTGCGTGGTAAGAGTTCTGAAAGTTCCTCTTCGAATCGCAGCTCTTATACCTTAATTACACATCTGAAGCTGAGGCCACATGTTCTGTCATTGTGATGCAGCCAGGCCGCTGATTGCTGGTGTGCTTCCATTAAAGTTCTGAGCTCAGCCAAGAAATCTGTTGAGCAGCTTCACAGCGATCACTGGCAATGCTTCATTACCTCAAAAATAGTTCACTCTGAAGTCTGAAGTGTGCCTTTAAATCCAAGGCACACTTTACAGGTTTTAGTAAGATTAAATTAGGAGTACTTCAAAGAATGTTTTATTAAATGCTATTTCAATTTTATTTTGTTCTATGAGAAGCTGAGTGAGTTTTCTTGCCCAGTCATTTGTATAAAATAAAAATAATTTGTATGGTTTATCTTTAATAAAATAAAATAATTTATATTGTTGAGTTTCATGATTATTATAGGTTTTTAAAAAGTGTCTAAAATGTTAGAGCAAAAATAACACTTTCCAAAAATCAACTGCTTTTATTTCTATCAACGACCACAATCTTTCTATTAAAAAAGGTGCACAAACTGTGAGACAATTCTATTCTGCAGTCAAAAAGACTAGCATAGCTAACCTACATGCTAACAACACATCTGATGAAGAAGCTTCCCTCTGAATACCCTCTGAATACAACGACCCTTAAAGGGATACTCCACCCCAAAAAACGCGAAGAAAACAAAAATAACGACTTTATTCAACAATTCGTCTCCTCTGTGTCTCTCCGCATCACCATAGCGCCATTTTGGGGAATATCCGTGGAGAGACACAGAGGAGACGAATTGTTGAATAAAGTCGTCATTTTTGTTTTCTTTGCATACAAAAAGTATTCTCGTCGCTTCATAACGTTACGGTTGAACCACTGATGGCAGATAGACTATTCTGACGATGTCTTTCATACTTTTCTGGACCTTGACAGTGTAATTTACTTGGAAGTCAATCGGACATTCACAAGCCTCCCGGTTTTCATCCAAAATATATTAAATTGTGTTCCGAAGATGAACGAAGCTTTTACGGGTTTGGAACGACATGGGAGTGATTAATGACAAAATTTTCATTTTGGGGTGGAGTATTCGTTTAAGGGTCGTTGTATTCAGAGGGTATTCAGAGGGCAGCTTCCCTTTAATGCACAGATTTGAAATCCTTCTCTTTGGCCCAAAGTGTGCGCCTGAAGTCCTTTCAAAACCCTGACAGTCGACTGGTGATCCATGCAGCTCATCCTCTTGATAAAGCGGAGGTATGTTACCGAACAACGGCCTTACAGAGCTCATACATGTCGCACAAGAGGCTTTGACAAATCTCTGAGCTCGTCAGCACTGCCATTCTGTATACTGTCTGAGGAAGAGCTCTCTTCACAAAACTGACGATGTTGAAGGTCAAAAACAATTACCGGGGCAGGAGCGCTTTGACAAAAGACACCTCCCACTTGGGTGGAATCTCCTTAGATGAGGTATTAGTGAGGGCTTATTTCCTCTCATTTCCGGTTCTTTTATGCTGCCTTTTCCCCCATGGCTTGACGCTGATTCCCTCATTAATTTTGCAGCCTCTTTGATTCGCTACATTGTGGATGTGACTGCTACCTCCTCCGGACTAAGACTGGTTGACCTGCGGGGAGGTGACATGGCGACTGCAGGGATGCCTATTACCCGGCCTGTCAGTCTAGTAACTAAAACAACCTTCATGTGGCCGTGATGCCTTATTTCCTACTGACAGCATAGCGGAGGGTTAATTAATATGTCAGTTATAAAAAACTGTCACTTTCAATTTATGACACAATTTAATGCATCCTTGCTTAATAAAAATAATTTCTTTCCGCAAAATGAAATAAATAAAATAAAATCTTATTGACCGTAAACTTTTGAGCAGAAGTGTAAATGTCCAAAGTTTTTTTTTTTTTTTCCCCACTACACAAATATGTGTTCCTTTCCAATACTAAAGTGGGGGTTTTTCTTACCCTTTGACCTCAGAGTGCAATGAGACAGAAACCAAATAAAACAAATATGAAAAAATGGGGTTCTGCAGGGACCCGGCGAATGCTCATTAGCAGTCATCCGGTACCACTTAAAAGAATATGATCCTCTCATTTAGACAGCTATGATTAAATATTCCCCTTTAAGTCGCACCCATGAGGTGCATGTTTTAAAATTCAAACTCTATTTACTGCAAAAGCATGACGTTAAAGGTTAATATGTCAGTTATGTTATGCAGGGATTGCTGGGGATCAACTGTGAGTGTCTCACACTTAAACGAAGAGAGGAGACCCGCATAAACACACGTAAACATGAGTTCACTAACATGCACTCGCGGCCGCTGCTGGTCTGTGACGTCTGGGCATTGATGCAGATTAGTAAACATACAATACAAACATATTAGTGATTAATTATTAGATTCTTTCTAGGAGCTACACTTAAGGGGCATTTTAAATGCAGATGTTAATGATAGATGGCAAACTTATGGATGACCCAAATAAAGTTTGAGGAGATTATACTACAAGGATGGACACACACCGCAAAAAAACTATTCAGATTGCCCTAACTTTCTATAGCAGTATACATAATAAAATAAATACATGTATTTAAATGTATTTATTATAAAATGTTTATTAAATATATTATACAATTATTTAAAAATGTAATTGGATTAAATGTAATTTTATACACACTACCACTAAAAGTTTTAACGGTCTGTAAGATTTTTTGCACATTTTTTTTTTAAATAAAAAATACAGTCGAAACAGTAATATTGTGAAATATTTAAAATAACTGTTTTCGGTTTTAATATATTTTAAAATGTAAATTATTCCTGTAATGGCAAAAAAGATGAATAGCTAATATGCTGATCTGTTTCTATATATATATATATATATATATATATATATATATATATGCAGGGACACGGCGAATGCTCATTAGCAGTCATCCGGTACCACTTAAAAGAATATGATCCTCTCATTTAGACAGCTATGATTAAATATTCCCCTTTAAGTCGCACCCACGAGGTGCATGTTTTAAAATTCAAACTCTATTTACTGCAAAAGCATGACGTTAAAGGATTCAAATCAGAAGGAAGTGAAAGGGCTAATTAATGGGGTTCTTGAAAGCCCAAGATTCGGTTATCTGGGGATTGATTAGGGTCAGCTGAAAATAGCGGAGGCAAAGCCTCCGGTAAAACAAGACAAAACAAACCATGATCGTGTCGATCATTCTCGCTGTTCCTCCGCAGGGAGGGGTGCGTGGTGGGGTCCTAATAAGGGAGTAACTATACATCAATGAATGTGAAAATGTATGGGCTGACTTCGGTTACGCTTTAACTGTCAGTAAACTATATGTTTTCCACTTCTCTACTCTAACACGACCCTGATTCATTATTTTTAATTGTGTGCAAACATCAAGTGTCAACTATTTTCTGGAATTCTGCCTTCGCTCACAAAGTCGGGTTTAAATCCTTTGTGCTGTTTTCAAAATTCCAACATATAATGTCCTTCCAAGCACCGTCCCTCTCTAATGGGGGTCTCAGCGGCACAGCTCTGGTGATGAGCAGGGTGCAGGAGGAGTTGTGGAACCAGTCACGATCCTTGCCAGCACAGTGTGGTGATGCGTCAGTGCCTGCGTCTTTTTTACTTGGTCATTAGTGCCCGCTGCACAGTCTGGGAGGAACAAGAGATGCACAAATATGTCTGGATTTCAAGACAAGCCACAGAGGGAAAAAAAAAAAAAACATTGCGTAACTGCCTGCGGAGAATGATCGCCTGAAAGACAAAGGTCCAGCAGAGGGAAAGCCCATGCCAGGCCATGTGACTGTCTGATGTTGTACTATAGTCTTCACTGCTCTCTTTTTTTTTTTTTTTTTTTGAAAGAACATGCGCCTGTTGGGAACTGTGAAAAGCAAGGTTGCACTCTTAGGTAAATGGGCTTTTTGGAAGCAAATTTAAGCCCTCATCACATACACCTGCAAATAGCTGCCCTCTCTGACCATACGCCCCGGTCAGCGCCTGCAATAAGACAGTCCTGTAATCCAACAGATGAAGACCTATCCAGGCCACATGGAGATTAACAATCTGCAACCAGTGATGATGACAAAAAGAGAGGCTGGGAAAAAAAGGAAAAAGGATGAAATGGGACACACTGTCAGAGATAATCCAAACCCCTTCTTATTTTTCCAGCAGCTCTCGCCCTGTGTAAATCCCAATTTAACTCGGACCAAAGCCAACGTTTACGAGGCACGGATGTTAACAGCGCTAATCCATCTGTGCTTTGCTCAGTTTTGAAGAGATTACACAATGGCCGCTTTTGTTACTGATACAAAAGTAGGTGAATGACAGATACATAACACAAACAAACATCACAAAATCCCCGTGCCAGCATCAAACTTCGACACCGGTGGTCTTTTCGGTTGTTAATCTGATTTATGGGTGTTTTTTGGTAAGGAAACGTGTCGCCGCTGCCAAGAGATGAGTAAAGAGTCATGGGAGAAATATGTGGTTTGAGCAACAGTTTCTTTTTTTTTTTTCTCTGCCCATGGCAGATGAGGTAGAGATACAATGCTGTTTGGTTTCCACTCATGCCAAGAGGAGGTCTAAAATATGGGGAGTGGAAGATATTTAAACTTCAACAAAAACCACAGAGCAGTCCTGCGGGCAATAAAATATTTTCTCATCCCTCCCCCATCGGTCCCTGTGAACAAAACTCAACGACACAGATGTTTTTTTTTTTTTTTTTTCTGTTGCCATCTCTGCAATTGAGGTTCTGTTCATAAAAACTTTTCAAACTTTTTTTTGAAAGGAATCGAACACCAATGTCACAGACAATATTCTAACAGTGGCTTTCCCCAAGACTGAATTTGAGAAACAATGAGATGATGCTGAGAAATATTTCACAAGCATCGAGGGGGTCGATGGACACATTACACGCTTAGAACTGCTCTGAACCAGTGGTCTATCTAAGCATGTTGTACCAAAACAAGCATGTTATCCATTTTCCATGCCTCTGCCGTACTGTCAAACAATTCCCTGGACAGTCCAAAGCAAATAAGTCACAGAATGGTAGTTGTATACAGGTTGATGTTTGAGGCACTTTCATGTCGCGCATGTTTGAAGTCTGCTGAGAAACAAGGTTCTCACACTACATTTCTGTGTGAGTGCATTCTTTAGTGGGAACAGTGAAAACTAAATAAATAAAATAAAAAAACGGATGAAAAATTATTTCTGCATGAAAATGATCAACAGTCTTCTAGAATTCTATTCTGCAGTTTCTACAATTGTATGAAATACAGTGTCACTTCAACTACAGACACTTTTATGCCAAATATCACTTAAAACATAGAAACATTTTATGATGCCTTATTTATTTTTGCTACTTTTCAAATGTCTTTTATTGCTATACCCTTGTCTCAGACTTATAAAAATGTATTAAAAAAACAAGACATTTTAAACTCTGATTTGATTAGTTATCCATTTTACGCCATAAAAAAAGTTCCGTCATTCAACCACAGAATGCAATCAAACACAAATGTTGTGGGAGTGTTTGTTTTAACAAATTCTATATATTTTGCAAGTCCACAAGATCAAAAGTGCACTAAGTTGAAGAAACATCTTTATAATGAATTAAAATTAATTTTAATTATATATGAAGAATCAGTCAGTTATTTAAAAAAAAAAATAATGAAAAGAACGAGTGAAATATTGAAAGCGTTTTGTTAAATCAAATTTTCCATAAATAAATGCATGTTAAATGAACTCTTGATGAATAAATGTTTCTGATGTTATCATGAAGGTCTTACCAGCGATGTGGCCAGACTATGTGGAGTGGCCGAAGACTCCCTCTCTCATTGCCACACGGATGAGACACTGGCTGATTCTGCAACGTCTTCTGGTACTGCTGCGGCCCTGCCACATTGAGAATCTCCTCAGGTGGCTCAGAGTCTATTGTGAGCTCTGGACAACTGGAGGGGTTTATAAGGTCATAAGTTAGACCCCCATCAATTACTCATGGTCACTCTAGAAATAATCAGTCTTGGCCATTTTAATGTCTTCAGTGCTACAGTGCGTTACCTTGGAGCTGATGTTTGAACGTGGCTTTGAGTAGCTGGAGCGTGGATATCATCACACCGCACTGAATGCCTGAGACGTTTGTGTGCAGGAAGGAATCTGAGGACGAAAGGGAAAAAGCCCAATAAAACAACATAAGAGAAACTATGGAAAAACTGTTAAAAAATAGAAAAAAAAAAACAAAAAAAAAACACGATGATTGTAAACACATTCCTAATTCAAAGCTGTTTTTCTCTAACCTTTGTTGATTTCTATAATAAAAAAACAACATACGGACCAAATAATTCATAGGCAACACCAGTTGGAATATTACGTTTGAGCAAAATAAACAAAAAAAGTAACTAAAACCACATTTTAAAAAAGAAAAAAAGGGCCTCATGTGGCATTTCTCTCTCCCTGGTCTTAAAATATGTCGAGCACACAACCGGACTTATGTATTCTACAACCACGACGATTATTACAAGTTAAAGGAGTTAAAACAAGTCCCATTTTCACATAATTCACTGCCAAAAGCAAGCCATAAAATGCAAAAAGCACTTTCTCCGTTCTCTGCGACTGCACAGCTCATGTGCTGCCTCCACAGCACCGCGAGTCCTAATTGTAGGTTGTGTGATGGAAGCAAGCCAATTAGCTGCTTGAGAGCGAGATTCCCCCATGCTTACTGACGCTATTATTTTTTGCAGTGGAGCAGATGCGAAGGCACTGCTAAAATTTTAAATAACCTACCTTGTACTCTCTTAAAGGAATAGTTCACCCAAAAATGAAAATTCTGTCATTAATTACTCACCCTCATGTCATTCTAAACCTGTAAAACCTCTGCTCATCTTCAGAACACATTTTGGAGAGTATCCACTGAACACAAACAGGGTATGCTATTCTGTGTCAGCTGCATCACTCGAATACATTTTTGATTTGAACGAAAGCAACGTATCCACGTCACGCAACTGACACAGAATAGCATACGCTGTTTGCGTTCAGTGGATACTCTCCAAAATGGCACTAGGGTGACGCAGAGGAGACGAATTGTTGAATAAAGTCGTTATTTTTGTTTTCTTTGCGTACAAAAAGTATTCTCGTAGCTTCGTAAAATTACAGTTGAACCCCTGATGTCACATTGATTATTTTACCGATCTCCTTGCTACGTTTCTGGACATTGATCGTGGTAATTACATTGCTGTCTATGGGAGGGTCAGAGAGCTCTCAGAATTCATCAAAAATATCTTAATTTGTGTTCCGAAGATGAACAGAGGTCTTACGGGTTTAGAACAACATGAGGGTGAGTAATTAATGACAGAATTTTCATTTTTTTGGGTGAACTAACCCTTTATGTGAACATTATAAAACAGATATATGACACTATCTTTAGTATGGTATGAATTAGTCAAAAAGTCAAAATATTTACAAAAGCAGTTCAAGATACAATATAATTGTCCAAAGATTAACAAGCAGATCATTAACACCAAACTCTAGGCTGCTGATGCAATCTTCCATTACAGAAAATCTTCATTTATTTACATTTTTTAACAAATAATTTTACATTGCCGCTCTGTAACAAGGTACATTTGAAGAAATAAAATAAAATAAAAGGTAACACTTTATAATAACTTTTATTAATAAATCATTAACACACATTATATAATGCTTAATGGATCAGTTAATAGACATTCAAAGAGTTAGAAACGTGAGATAATGTGCTTGTTAATGTTTGCTAATAAACTTATTAAACATTAGATATTGTTTAACAAATCATTATTTCATGTAAGTTAAAATGCTTACAAATGTCATTAAACTTTCAATTCCATATGATCAAGCACTTACTGAAAATCTACAAATGATTTTAAAATGCTATAAAATGATTAAAAGCATGTGTTAATGCACAACACTTTAGCTGCTATTGAGGTGTGATACGGGTGAGGTTAGGGACAGGTTTGGTGATATGGGTAGGTTTAAGGGTTGGTTAAAGGGTCAACAGTGTACAGGGGTCAATTTGAATATTATAAGGGAACACGGTTCAAACTGTTTATATTATATTGATAAATGGACAAGTATTTTCTTTTTAAAAAATGATTTGTTTCCCCCTGTTTATTTATAATTCAAGGAATAGCTATCCTGTTTAATGATATACTGAAGAGTAGTATGCTAAAAGTCCAAAGTCCATAAAGATACTAAATGATTAGTAATCGTTTATAAACATTTACAAATGATGAATCATTTTAACTTTAGATTGGCTACTGCAAAAACATGAACAAATGATTAATAAATGATTAGTAAAGATGTGTGAATAGTGTAAATTCAGGTCTTACGTGACCCTTTTTGCCATCGAGATGACTGCTCATAAAGGTATTAATGATTAGTAAACATTTATAAACATTTGCAAATGATGATGTGTAAATAGAGGTCTACACAACAAACAAAGACCAACAAATGAAGATCATACGAACTGAAAGTTTACTAACATTTCTAAGTAGGGATGCACCGATACTGGTCTCCTGTACTCGTACTCGTACTCGTTAAAATGCCCCGATACCAAACGCCGATACC